GGTTATGCTAGCATCGCGAGAGTTGAGTCTCTTCAATGTTTCCACAAGGTCTTCTTCCATCGTTGCGATAATGAATACATCATCAATATAACGTTTGTAGAACAAAATTCCACTAATTAATGGTGACTTCTCGATGTGTTACAAGAAGATGACTGCTAACACAGGTGCTATGCGATTACCCATAGCAAGGCCTCGTTCTTGCTTGTAAACTTATTGTCGAAACAAAAATGTTGCATTCCAGTGCTGTTTCGATGAGATCCTTAACTTCGCTGTGGGAAAATCCCATCATCGTGATATGGTCCTTGTTATCCTCGATGAGAGATAAGACAGCTTGCACTATTCCCGCAATATTCACGTTCATGTATAAGGATACTACATCAAAGCTTCCGTAGAAGGCTTCCGTCGGTATTGGACATTAGTGAAGCGCCGAAATGAATTTTTCAACATTCATAATGTGTGCTGCCATGTAACGCAAGAGTGGCGAGAGCGAGCAAACTAAGAGCTGGCTTAATCCGTCTGCTGGTACACCACAAGACGAGATAATCGGTCCCGTCTTGATTTCATTCCATGGGAGGGTCATGGTGTCTGTTCTCGCCGGAATTTTGTGCGTCTTCGTCAGGTTGTAGAGCGTCGGCACTGTTAGAGTGTACCGTAGAGTGGTTTTGCCATTTCAGGACTTATTCGTTTCTTCACAATCGCCATCACGTTCTTCACCCTTTTACACACTGATTCAAATGCCGACAAAGTGCTTTTTTCGTACACGGTGTCGTCTGAGAGCACTTTTTTGGTGATAGCTTTATCCATCGTTGGTGGCATCACTACAAAGGAGCCGCACTTGTCTTCAACGGTGTACCTCAATATCTCCTCCGCTTGCAGTAGTTTCTTCCCCCTCTGCGTTCAGTTGGGGTCAGACTACTGCGATAAGGCTCTATATTATCTTCACTATATATAAAGCGCTCGCGTCTGTCTGTTTGTCTGTTTGTTTGTACGGAAATTCTATATCACCTGAATGAACATCTTCCCAATTCGGGTCAAGTTTGGGATGGGTTGGGCATGGAACAAGAGCACATGTGTGCTCAACCTAACTACGCTCACAGAAGGCGGAGCATGCACGGGAGTGGGCGGTGTCCTGAGCAAAATGTCTGGATCAGGTTTCGTAACAGCCCGAACGCCGAGAAAAAGTAGGTGAAGGTGAGGGATGGGTCAACAAGTAAACTGAGGGAGATNATGAAGAGAGGTGTCCGACAGGGTGATATGATTTCACCCAAACATTTGATTGCCGCTCCCGACAATATCATGCGTCATTCCATTTGGAATGGGAAGACCTTGGAATGAAGCAACTACTTACATCACCTCCGTTTTGTAGACGACATCGTGCTTATAACACCGAACATCGAGTAGGGGGAACGAATGCTGGACGAGTTTGGCGTGCTTGTGGAAAGATTGGCTCGAGACTGAATTTAAGGGAGACTCGAACGAAATTTCCCTATACATGCAAGTGCAGAAGGGAGTTTCGAGATCAACGAACGAAGATTAGGGACACCGTTCATTACGCCAAGAAGCCGAAGATCAGGTGGGCCGGACACGTTGTGCGATAAAGTGATGACTGTCGGACCAGGGCGGTTACTGACTGGATCCTTCGGGACATTAAACGAACTCCAGGATGGCCGCAAACGAGATGGCCAGACTTCTTCACAAAAGCTCTGAACGAAAGAAATGTTGAACCTCGTGTCCCTGGAGCGACGTCGATTCTATGGACCATCTGGCTCGCGACAGGGACGAATGGAGACGTTACTGGTGCCCGCTCAAGGAAGTCGATGATCAATGGGACGACAGGTGACAGGTGACAGGTGATATGGTGAACAGATGTGCTTCCGTGGTAATTTATTGTAATGCTAGAATTCTTTAACTGGCACAGTTAGGTGATCTAAAATTCGGAGAATATGAAATGATCGCTCACAAAAATTGGAATCGATCCGTTTTTTT